CCTATAGGTTCTTCATTATTTAATAGTAGAGGTATCATTTCCTAAGGAACTGAGTAAATTTACTTTCAGAGAAGGGGAAGCAAACAGAAAATCCCTAGGTAGAGACACATAGGTAACGAGTGGAAACGAGCGGGTTCCCGAGTAACAAATTGTTTCAGGCACCAAAACGTGCGGAAAGAAAGATCCACTGTGATTGCAACGGAACTGCATTGAATGAAAGTGCAATGAAGTTTCCCTTCTCGTTAACGCTCAAATCTCATCCGCGTGTCCTGTTATTTCCTGTTTCAGGACAATGAGACGTGACACACGTTTAAAATGCGGAAATCGTCTTACAGAAAAGCATAGTAGATTACGATGCTATCGGAACTGATTTAAGGATTATTTTAGATAATTGCATTTGGTTTAAAACAATTTTAATTATATATACTTCTTTCAGTGCAGTTCAAAGCAATTTATTTAATTTTACACTATAAAATTGCTAAAGATGTCCAATGGTAGGCATTATACGGGGTGACTGAAACGTTGCGCACATTGAAATTCTGAAAATAATAGAAATTCCAAAATGGATATTACCGGCAAATTGTTTCGATAAATGACATCCTTACACTGTAACAAATACAGAGTGGTCACAAAAGTGCTTCCCCGATTTAAAAGCCCCTTAGTGATCTTTCCGCTCAACCAATCGAAATGAAATATCAGGTGCTGTTATTTGAAGGTATGCGCTCGTTATTTGAAAGTATGTGAAGGTATGTAACGATTTAACTCTTTGAAATCCAAACCCTTCGCTAAGCTGTATCCTCAAAATACCCGAACCGCCCGAAATACTTTTCCAGTTTCACAGCAATTTCCTCCCCTCCCCGTCCATTAACGCAGAAAATAGGTGTGAAGTTTTCCAGTGACATCCTTTGTACTTTCTAACAAAGATTCCATTAGCCTTTGACCCCGTTCTTTATAAAACTACTCTGAAGGTCAGATCAACAAGCCTTTCCGGCTTTGTTATGATCACGACTGAGATTTGTTTATTTCCGTTATTTTTATAGGAAGGAATAAATTGTTTAAAAATAAATATAATCCTTAAATTTTTAAACTGCTGTTTAAAGCTTAAAAGCACACTGTACTACAAAAGAATCAACAACGAAATGTCACGATCATCCAAAAACTAAAAAAACCTCTTAGAACAAGCTGTCTGCAGTAAACTGATTTGGGGAAAGTGCACCTGCTATTGCATACCTTAGGGGAGGGAAGAAAAGAAAATTACAATCTCGGCTGTTTTCGGGCGGTGCTGGTTGTTTCAATGTAGAGCCGTGTCGGGCGGATTGGAGGTGAAGGAGTTAAAACAACAGCCAATGTGACACATTTAAAACAAAGATCCCTCCCGATTACTGTTACAGTGAAAAAATTTTCGAAAGGCAATACCTACACTTTTCCTACTCCAACTGATCAGCACATTGCAAACCCATAAATAGCTTTGGAACATCACACGTATGGTGAAAGCTGCAGACATAAAACATTTGCAAAGAAGAGCATTGTAAAGGACCAATGAAAACGCAAGAAAGGAGAGGGGGGAATGACGGGGTGGCTGCCTCTGTCATTAGCATTAGCAAGTGGCGCCTAAAGCTACGTTCAGACGGGAGCGTAAAGGGCATAAGCGGTTAAAGCCGAGCTCCGTTGCCAAGGCAACCAGTCGGTATAACGTCACAAAATCTGGTTTAGGGCTCGTGGTATAGGGTTCAAAGTTTTCAACTTTACGCCGAGTTTGGGATAAGCGTTGACCAATCGGAGCGAAGCTAAAACGAAGCGGCGTTCTACAGAAGATTTCGCTGTAAAACAAGCAGAGCGAACGCGGGAAATCAATCGAGCAGGAGAACAGCGCGGGAAAGTTGTAGACACATCCCCGCATGCGCAAATTTAGCTTCTCTCATTGGCCAAGGCTTACACGCCGTTCTCGCAAGTGTGAACGGAATTCCCGTATTTATGCCCTTATGACTACGCCTCTATGCCCTTTACGCCGCCGTCTGAACACAGCCTTATGGGTGCAAGTAACCCAACTTGCCCAAACTCGCTCTACTGATGCACCAGAGCACCACGGGAAAGCGTCTCGTACACTTTTTTGAGTCCTTCTACACTCCCTACACTTAATATTTACAACTTCTATAACATTACAGCACAGTTCCGACGTCACGGCAAATGGCTTCCTTACCAGATATCAACAGAGCGGCTTAAAACTTGTCTTCACTATTCGGAAAAATTTTAAGAATAATATGTACGGTTTTACGCTTGTTTACCAATCATCATATGTGCTTTTACTTTCCCTTCAACATTCATTGGCACCAACTAGGATACAAATTAATAACGTATTTAAGCACAGAGTTCATGAGTTCGAGAGAGAGTTTTTGTCGGTTGACGCTAAACGTCTCGCTGTTGTTTCTTTCAGCGTTTCAATTACTTGAATCGGTTTAACTATGCTAGCTGAAACTACTGGCGTAAAACGTGAGGGCCTAAGCCAAGCATTGTAAGCCCGCTTTGTCTTGTAAATCTGATATTTCAACTCAGTGAAGCCCCGGATAATGAATAGAATTCGGAAACTCCAAGAAGAATTCGGTTTAAGAAGAAATTATTCGAACGAAAACGCGTCGGATGATGAACGGTGTCTCGAGTTACAAACATTCATATCAGCAATAGATGATTAACAAAGATGTTTTCAGCTAACCTAATGGCACAGAATTAACGCTGGGAGACTTCTTGAAACATCATTTTATTATTTACTGTTGATTAACTTTCATTAACAAAGCTTCGCAATAAGTTACTGTCAGAACCACAGAGAAAATTATGGCCAGTCCGAGTTGCAGACAAAACGTAACGCTTTCTGTCTTAGGACTCTTTATGTAGCTATGATATTGTGCATCTGAGCACAACCATCGCTAAGAAATGAATAATGAAAACTCGGAGAAGTTGCTAGAGAGACATAAAATGAGCCAACAAGAAAGATGTACAACTACAGAACATTTATGCAAAATGGAATAAAGTGCAAAGTTCTCATTTGTCTATAAATATCAGCTTAATAAAGTAGTAACAGACACTTATGATTCATTGACAATGCCAAGTCTCACTTTAGAAACATTTTAAAACGTAGGCAACAATATATCACACTGGACAAATTTTGAGTGAAGCGGAATCTCGGTGAGTTTCCAGCAGAGTCAAACGGTGCTTAGAGACAAAGGAAAAAACCCCCTAAAGTTACCTTATGTTTTCATGGAAGGGAATTAATTTCGCATTCAGGAATAACACCTTCCTCGTCATTTTTGACTTATACCACCCACTCTCATTTGTACAGGTACTGCAAAGTTTTTCGTCTATTTTAACTGTTCATTATTTTTTTTCACTTTCTTTTCCGAAGTAAAGAAGTCTTGTAATCACGAAAAATTTCGGGCATCCTATTCCGACGGAAATACCCATTTCGAGGATTTTTTTCCATGATGTTTGTAGGCTGGAACAAAGTAAAGGACTCATTTTTCCAAAACGCGTCTTAAAATTGATTAAAAATGGATCAAAATTTATTTTTTCGTGACGTCTGTAACGTACGTACGTACAAATCTCGCGTAGCTCAAAAACGACTAGCCGCAGCAGTTGAAATTTTATATAAGGGACTGCTATAACATCTGTTTGTGCACCTCCCATTTTTGCTACAATCGGCAATACCAAAAGCATAGAAATTTCCCTTGAAAAGCCAGGTTGGACTTCGGGTTAAGCTAATTTACCATTTTCCGCTTTATATTTTTTTTTATATGTTTCAGCTTGTTCCATCGATTGGTTTTTCTATGTTTTAACTTTACACTTGTCACATCGATAGGTATTTTCTGTATTTTTTGCCTTTACTAGTTTCCAAAGATTAGTATTTTACTGTGTTTAATTTAACGTGTAGCATAATTTTTCACCCTTCAGTGACATTGTTTTTTAAAAAAAATGTGTTGAACTTTTCTTGGAGCCACAGCTCCTGGTAACTTTTTGGCGAGCTTTCTACAATTTCTCATATCTTTAATTTTGCAGCATATTGCGCAAAAAAATTATTTAGACCAAATTGGTCTTACGGTATTGTACTAACTACCTTGCTTGTTAATTATATATATATATATGTGTGTGTGTGTGTGTGTGTGTGTGTGTGAAATTCTTTAATTTCCAGTTAATTATCCCAGTTCTTAAAAGTTTATACCTTCCGTTTTAAAGAATTCATTTAAGTTATTTTCACTTTTTGGTCATAGAATGCAGGCCAGTGATTTTGCTTCCTCTTCTTTAGTTGGAATGTTTTCGATTTTTTTTTTTCTATTATTATAGCATGAGCTCATACTTCTTTTTCATCATTTTAACTCATAAAACTGAAGATGGTTCTATCTGACCTCGAAACTAAGTCTGAAATAAAAATTTAAGAAATTTACTCAGATATTTTGTTGCTACAATAACTTTAATAAATTTTCTTTGGTGTTAATGAAGTATGGTAACGTTTTCAGTTAACACACTTTTTTTTTATTATTATGGGTTTTCATGTTGCATATCCCTTTATTAACGTTACTTATTGTACTTTTTTCAGTCGTAAAAAAAAAAATTCTTTTTAAAAGTATATTTTTTAAAAATCTGAGCCTGCTGATAACTCAACCTCCACTGACATATTCAATGATTCTTAAGCAGTAATTACTAATACAGCTGGGTTTTTTTAAATTGCTGTGAAACATATAGGTTGTAAGAAAAGAGAAGCCTACATGGAGGATTTTCTATGGGAAATTGTCTCATATTCATGTCCCACATGGGGAAATACCCATGCAGGCAATCCATTTATCGGAACTCGATTTGGGCCGATTATCCAGTCGGCCAATGCTAGGCCCTAATTGTCAAAAAGAATATTAATTTAAAATGTCGGATACTTCTTACTCAGATTGATCTATCATCAGTTTAATTAATTTGAAGAATAGGTGATAACTAAAATGAATGAAACCAATTTAAAATACCTGTATCTTAAGAAGCTTTTGTAAAGAATTCTTTGGATTTTGCCAAATAGCTGCCAAATGAATTTTGGCTTTTAACCGGTGGCCGACGATTTGAGCACCGACGTCCGTTCCACATTCTTCTTCCACAGAAACCGTTGTTTCGTAGACGTACTTGTTAGTCACACCAATCTCGTAATTTGCGTTGGTTATCGCTGTAAGGTACAAAGTATTACTACATAACACAAAAAAGAAGAAATGAGATTTATTTTCAAAATTAACATTTTCCAAAAGTTTTAAAGAATATTCATTAGGAAACGAAACTTTAATACTTTTTTGAGCTACAGAAATAACACTCTCGAATAACAAGATAAAAAATATAACCGCAGCGTACTGGTAATTTTATGGAGCAAAGTTATTAATATTACTCATTTAGTATAAACTATATTTTCTTAATGTAATAATAATAATAATTTAATTTTTAAATAAAACTTCTTTGTCTTTAATAGACTTAGTCTTTTTCATTACTAACTAGTTACGCGACCAACCAACTAAAATAGTTAATATAAAGAAGAAAGAAATGCATATAGTGACTCTAATGGATTCCAATGGTGTAATTTCATGGGTCCAGCTATTAACTAATAATAATAGATGAGAAGAACTGCTTTTATTTCTTTTTTTCTTTATTCTATTTAATCGTTTAATTTGTTAATTCAATAGCAGAGAGGATTTAGTTCGAAAGAAAAATTAATATATTACACATTGCCGAATGGCACGTCAGAGTGTGAAAAATAGAGCTTGTTAATTAAAAATTCGTTAAATTTTCACAAAATCAAAAGTAAAATAAAAAATATCTGAAAGGTTTCAGATTTTGACTGTCGCCCAGAAGGGTTTGTTAAGTTCTTTTATGCTCTCGCTGAGCTCGCAGTCTACCAGTCTGTTGTTACATTCACTCCTACTAACTTTTCTTTTTGTCTTTTTAGCTTTGTTATTAAGCATTATTTTCTTTGAGCTTAAACCATATACAGTTCAATAGTAAAATTAGAAAATTTTGAAAGCAGCATAGCAGTGTATGTTTAGAATTTCCGATGCATATATTTTTGTGTTTTTCTCAGTTCATCATATCAATGTTACGTTTTCTTACTAAGAGGCCTTCAGCTATCTCGAGAGTTGATCAAATGCTCGCATTACAAAGCTGTTCGAACATCAGAATCTGTCGAACAGGAGCTCTTTTGCAACAAAGATTTAAGTAACAGATTTGAAGTTATGTAATGTACTTCGTGAAACTCATATGACCAATGGGCATGGGAGACCATGACAGAATGTTGAAAGAAATCTTATGAAAAAAAAAAAAAAAAAAACTTTGCTCATCCTGATGTTAAGGTATACATTCATCCTTATGAGCCATGCCAAAAGAAACTATTAAGAATTGTAAAGTTACAAACTCACGGTCGCATCTTGACAGTGATATCAAGTTTATAATGGTATACAATAACCATTTCGCTACACTTGTGGTCTTCAAGGCTCTGATGTCAAAGACTGCGGAATAAGTAGTACATAACTTAGTGAACGTATTTACATTTCTGTAATTCTGCAAATTGAGAATGACCTATAGCTTGCTAATAAATATGGTGAGAAATCTAAACATAGGGCAATGGTTATAATGGATTTCTTTTACTTGTAATAACACTTCCCGGTAAACCTAAATGTGCTCCAACAAGATTAGAAGATTGTAGTATCACCACGCGATACTTCTCGAAGCCAGAGAACGTGGAAATGGGCAACAAATAAGAGTCTTTGTTTCAGCAGAAACTCGAAAGACCTATATTAGCCTAGTACGAAGTAGCTGGGCTGGACCCTTAAATCTATGAATGTTAGGATACGAAGTAGATGGACTGGCGACAGGATTTAGACAAAGATGATGAAGATAGCCGAGTTGGCTTTCGGGTCGTCTATCGTGACGCCGAATCAAATGTAATGACAACTGTTTATCCAACGAGATTAGACGATATTAAATTTGAAGCCAGTCAGATGTGAAACCGCGATCAATAAAAATACAAGTTTCGTCAACTGAAAGGACACCCTCTCGAGTCGTGCCTTCGAGAATGCTGCTTATAGTTCCACTTCGAAGTGGAGATGAGAGACATTGATGGATTACAATATTATTAAATAATCGATCCTAATCATGTCAGTAGATGAGATTTCGATTGAAACAGATGTTCGTAAACAAGTTTTGCCATCTGCAAAGCTAAGAAAGTATAAAAAGAGCTAATCAAGACTTTGAAAATATGCTTTTAGGTGGTACAAAAAAAAAGATTGAATAATTAAGGGAAAACTACGCTTTGTGCAAATTATTAAAAGCAAAATTATACTCAATCTGTGTTTCCATATGAACCTCTCTTTGGCTGACGTTACAGTCTTCCTCACTTTCAAGTTTTAATGTATTTTCTTGGCCTTCTCTATGTCTAACAAAAATACGAGTTTCTCTAAAAATATCTTTAGCGAAGGCATTAGGCAGATACCCCTCGAGTGCTTTGCCACAACCAATTAAGCAAAAAAAAAAAAAAAAAAAAAAAACTCAAGATGTTTCATAAAGCATACAAACTGAAGATCAACTGAATAAAAAAGAATTAATAACATTCAAATAATACAAAAAAGATATCCCCGCATCCAAACGAAACAGTTAACTATGAAAAACCTAGAACCATTTTGCTTAATAACGAGAAGCTATGGTTTCTGTAGTCTACGGTGAAAAACATCATAATTTCTGTAGTCTACGGTGAAAAACATCATAATTTCTGTAGTCTACGGTGAAAAACATCATAATTTCTGTAGTCCACGGCGGAAGAAACGAAAATGATATTAAACACATGTCTACTCGAAGAAGTTCGATTCTGTTACGTCCTGCTTCTATTTGAAGGAAACAAATTGGTTCGTATATTTGCAGAAGCTTTTGCCTAAATTCTGATGCCACCTGTGGACATGAGCGTAAAAACAGATGAAGTGAAAAAAAAACAGATTACGGTGTTAAAATTTTATGTATTCTTTGATTCAAGTATTAGGAAAGAAATAAGCTAAGGAAAGTAAAAATGGATTCTTCCCTTGAACTCTACTCCTATCCCTATATGTGAACAAGAGACAGGTGATTCGCGCAGTCTACTGCCCGTTATCATCAATGTGATAGATGAGGATTTCTACCGATCCTTCCCTGCAGCTGTTGAATGAATTTTAAAACAAGTCTTTGTCAGATCGCGATTCACTTTACGTTTTGGAAACGTTCTTGAACTAAATTAGCTCTCCACTCACACGCTTTTGTTCAATCCACAGAAGATGGCTAAGAGTTTGTGAAGTATTGCTGCTTTAAGATTTTTTCCTATGAAAAAAGGAAGCTAAATGCAATGCAAAAAGACATTTTAGTCTAATTACAGCTACAAGTAATACTGCATTGTTCAGTTTTTGTTCCTGTACAAAAATTCCTTATCTTATATTTTATACCTCTATATACCAATCGACAAAATGTAAGATTTAATCAATAAAATCGGCTATTTAAAAGCAAGGCATTACCATTCCCAGAAATAGAATACTTCTTTCTTCTATGCCACTGTGTTGGTTACAGCCGAAAACATCGCGACAAAAACACCGCGGCCGAAAACGTCGCGGAGAAAACAACGCAAGGCGAAAACTTCGTGCTACAAAACATCGTGGGAGAAAACATCGCAAAGAGAAAACATCGCAGTTCTAAAACATCGTGGTACAAAACATCGTCGTCGAAAATAAAGCGGTTCAAAAACTTCGCAGTTTAAAAACATCGTTGTGGAAAATATCGTGGTAAAAAATAAAGTATCTACAAATCATCGCGTGACGATAACATCGCAGACATGCTTTTTTGCAGGCTATAATAACTGTAAATGGATATTCCCATAATGATTTGTGAGCGCAAGATGTAAAAAAGGATAATTTTTACTTTCACATTTTTTTATTAATTAATAAATTTTTTGCTGCAAATGTAAGAAGGAAACTTAAGAATAGAAAATTAAATGCAACTTATAGATTATACTTTTCATGAAAAATTACCAGTAAAAACTTTATAAAAATGATTTATTAATGGCCTTTGTTAATTAAATATGTCAGTTTAAAAATTTTAAAATTCTATTAAGTGCTATAAGTTGCAATAATTTGCTATGCTTAAGTTTCTTCTTATTTTCTCAGCAAAAATTTATTAGTTAATAAAAAATTGAAAAAAATAAAAAAATGTGAAAGTAAAAATTATCCTTCTTTCCATCTTGCTCTCACAAATCATTATGGGAATATCCATTTAAAGTTACTAAAGCCTGAAAAAAAAGTATGTCTGCGATGCTATCGTCATACGATGATTTGTAGATACTTTATTTTTATCACGATATTTTTTATCACGTTCGACGACGATGTTGTTTTTTTTTAAATTGCGAAGTTTTTGAACCGCTTTATTTTCGACGACGATGTTTTGTACCACGATGTTTTAGAACTGCGATGTTTTCTCTTTGCGATGTTTTCTCCCACGATGTTTTGTAGCACGACGTTTTCGCCTTGCGTTGTTTTCTCCGCGAAGTTTTCGTCCGCGATGTTTTTGCCGCGATGTTATCGGCGGACACCCACTGTGTTACCATTCGGCAAAGCGTAAGATATTTAACTTTCAAATTTAATCTGTCTGTTACTGATTACAAACTAAGCGATTTAAAAGCAATTATAATTATTTTACTTTTTGATCTGATCTATATAAATAAAAATGTGTTTAATTCATGACATATAACTGAAAACATTAAATATTTATTTGAAAATATAAAATTATACAGGCTGAGTTCACTAAAACCTTTATATGGTTATTATATTTTTTATGATAACTAGTTTAAAAGGTGTATATTTAAAAATAGCGATAAGTTAAAAGACTTCTATACTTTGTCTAGCACTCTTACGTTTGTTGCAAATTCAAAAGTTTAAAACCGTATCATTCAACGAAGCTGCTAGATACTTGCAACTTTGTCATAGAATTGGAGGTTTTCATACTGAAATATCTCTCATTAACGAGTAAAAACCTGAAATAATAAACTTCAGAAATTACAGATGGGGATTCTTAGTACACACGATACATGTAGAAATAGATTTCACCGACAGAAATCTCAGGATTTGAGAGTAAATGGATTGATAATGAAGCTTAAAGCATGATCGACTCTGCTGC